GCACGCGAGTATCACGGCCGAGGAGGCCGTGGAGTCGGAGTGCGCCTTGCCAAGAAATTTGTGTTTGGTAATGATTCCTGAATGTTTAGTTCTTGGTTGTTGTAGTCTTGCCTGTTCGTGCCTTGCCGACCTTGTGCGCCAAGGTACACAGCAGAAGACTGGGAGCACGTCTTCGACCACTACGCGTGGAAGACAAATGTCTTCGGCAACAATGTCTACTACGCTTTGGGCTTCCAGCTTCTGGGCCACACCCCCAGGACGATTTTTAACATGCATCGTGGCACGGAGCTGGTGGCGGAGGACCTCGTGATAGTGAAGGTGATCGTGAGGTACAACACGCGGGTCCAGCAGGGCGAGGCGTGCTCGCGGAATTTCCAGCCGCAATGCCGCCTGCTGCCGAAAGAGTTGGAGGTGCCCGTATACGAAAAGATTGCAGCAAGCAGGTGGCACGACTGTGCCCACACCCCTCACTGGGAAGAACACTACGTCCCACACAAGGACTGGTTCCTTCACATGGACTATGACAAGGTGAAGGGCCATGTCCCTTCACCTTGTCTTTCCTCGTCTTCCTTCGTCTACTCGTTGGTCAAGGGTTGGGACATGATATGAAGAGAAGAGGAAAGGAATAGAAGGGAAAGGACGGACGGAGTCATGTCTAGGATGATGATGAAGAGATCCCTTTCCCTTCTATCTCCCTTTATCTCTTTATCACTCACCTATTAACTCCCAATTAAGAACCGAGTGCAGGGAGTTACAGTGAGTGAAAGAGATGATTCCCTTCTTTCCCCTTCATGTCTTCTCCTTTTCCTTTGTTGCATCTGGAGAATCCTTGACATGAAGGTAAAAGAGAAGGGAGAAGATGAGTACTAAACCTACATATAATAACAGTTATCAAGCAAAACAAGTTGATAGAGATAGTAGCGAATACAAAAACAAAAGCAATTATGTTAAACAACTTAATGAAAAAGTCATTAAAGAACCTAAACAATCAAGTCTGGATTACTATCAAGTCAAGTATAACGAAGATACCAAGAAATATGTTCAATCATTCACTAAAAGCACTTCATGACGAAGAAGGGGTTTTGACAACCCTTGAACCGTGTAATTTTTATTACCCATAATATCATATTCAATTTTATCAAATTTGAATAAGTTATTACTCCAACGACTGACATACTCCTTTCTGTCGGTGTAATTACCCCTTTTCTTTTGAAACACTTTTACCTTATCGTTCTCCTCTATTCTGGGATATTTTCTTTTGTTCTCGTAGTTTCAGATTGACCTTTACATTTATTTCGTTGTCGTCCTTGTGTGCTTGGTGGGTGTCATTCTTGTTGATGAGTGTAATGTGCTGTTATACTGTTTCAATGCTGGTGTTAGGGCATCGGTCCATTTCATGTTGTTAAACCAAACTCTATCGTGGATTTTGTTTCTCATCGTCCTGATGAAACGCTCTGCCACGTTCGCGTGGGTCTTTGTTATTATGTGTGCGATGCCTTCACTTGCAAAAAACTTTTGGACATTGTTTTTGTTAGCGAAAGCGCCATCATCATCAGAATACACGGACATGCTCGTCCCCATGATTTTGAAACTTTCCTGAAGCGCCTTTAAAACACTCTCCCCATCACGGTTGAACATCGGAACAACATGTGCCAACTTACTGAAAATATCAATTACTACTAAGGCATACTCTGGTGTGTCTTTATACTTAACCAGCGGTGTCATATGCATTATATCGATTTGGTACTCCCATCTAGAAAACGGAGCAGTAGAGGAGTTGGTGCCTCTATAACTTTTGATTTGTTTATTTGGTTGTTTCTTTAAGAAAGACTTAACATCATCTAATGTTATTGTTGGGTCTTCTTCCTTTGCCTTCTTACGTGTCGCTTGTGTGCTTCCGAAACCCTCGTCTAAGTCATAATAGATGGCAATCAACTGCAAAAAGCAAAGGCCCAGCCAAAGCACTGGTTACATTCAAAAAGAACGGGCAATCGCCCGCAAGCTTGGATCGAGGCCCCCGCCGTCCCCCCCCAAAAAAAACCAGAACACGTTACCCTGAGCGTGCGCTTTTTTCATGAAAATAAGCATCTAGAAGCTAAACCTGAAAGAATGTGCATCTTCATCTGCATCCGCGTCTGCATCTGGGACAATGGGTCTGAAGAGCAATGCCAAATTTACGAGTTTAGCTAATCTTAATGGACATTGTATCTTAAATTTAGAATCTAGATAGAACTCCCTTTCCAATGGAACTTTACAATCCAAGTAGAGTTTAAGCAAACTTTACGGACATATCCTAATCAAATTGTATAATGGAATTTTAGGTAGTTTTTTCCTATTTCCAATTGGACTTTACACAGGATGTTCCTGTCCAACATATTTTCTTTACAAATCACATTTTATTCAAACAGAGTTCAACTCAAACTCCTGATTAAAATGTGAAAAAAGCGCACGCTCACAGTGACGAGCTCTCTAAATATAAGGGCCCCTGTTCAAGCACTGTCGCCTCTTCCTGGGGCTCGTCCTCGTCATCGCTCGAACCCATGAGCCTCCTTGGTGCGGTCAAGTCATAAACCCTGCTTGATTAATAGGGGTCTCATTTTTGGGGGAGCACTCCCCATTAATCCATCGGGTTGATTAATCCGGGACACTTACCCGTGAACTCCGATTTTAATTTCATGCCATTGGGCAAGAACCGTAGCAGAAAATGTGAGAATCGAGGGGGTTCTTGGGCAATTTGAGATTCACAAAGGGAATTCCCATACAGAAAGTGGAGTTCCCTAAAAACTGCATAGTGGAGGTCTTGCCTTGTACTGGCAAAAGGGGATGTGTTGGGATTGTTGGGGGATACGTTATGAAGCAGCATGGGTGTGCAGCCACCCACCCACCCACCCACCCACCCACCCACCCACCCACCCACCCACCCACCCACCACCCACCTCCCACCCAACCCACCCACCCACCACCCACCACACCACCCACACCACCACCACCCACACCACCACCCACCCACCCACCCACCCACCCACCCACCCACCCACCCGATGGAATCTTGCCGCATGGTAATTCCGCACACTGAGTTGTCTATGGTGCCTAGGTCCCCCCAGCTAGGTGCCAACTTGAATTTGTAGTTTCTTTTTTTTTAGGGTTTAGGTTTTAGGGTTAAGGGTTCCAGGGTTTAGGTTTTGTTTCGGTTTCAGGGCTAAGAGGCTCAGGGTTTAGGCTTTAGGGTTCCAGGGTTGGGGCTGAGGGCTCCAGGGTTTAGGCTTAGGGTTTAGGGCTTCAGGGTTTAGTTGTTAAGGTTGCAAGGTTTGCCAAAAACAGGAAAGCGCCAAGCGACGCGAAAAAGAGCTGAAAGCGCCAAACGAGGTTATTAGGCGCTTTCCGATCAGAAACCTAGGTTTTTTTTTGGGGGGGGTTTGGGATCCTACGAAAGTAGACAAAACCGAAAAAGTTGGTACCTACTTATCCTAACCTCTCTCCTAGGTGCTGTCCACGTCGCTTTTAATTGCCCGAAACGCATTCAGTGTGAGCAGTTCTTCCACCAGCGCCGCTCCAAGCGTGGGCAAAGCCTTTGCAGCAATCAAAGGGTCGCGTGGATCCTTTTTTTATTTGGTTTCTGGCTTTTGGTCCGGGCCGCCACAGCTCTCTTTTTTGCATGTCAGGGGTGTTTGGCGTTTGAATGATGTTTAGATGGGACATCTCTAGACAAATCGTATAAAGGTCACCGATCGGGGATGACATGAGGTCTCCCTTTATCAAGGTCGCTTGCCTGAAGATTCCTTGTGTCTGGTTGTTGCCCGATAGCAAGTTAACCCAAGACATCTGGCTAAAACAACTTAGACCGAAGGGTAGTTATGTACCTTACGGGGTGTGTCTCTTTGGCTGACGGTGCCTTTTTATTTGTGGCTTTAAAAGGAAACCGCAAGAACAGTTTGGGGGCAGCCTAAAAATAGACACCCTTATCTAGGTCTCCCACTAGTGCCCTACTAAAAGGTACCGGGTATTTACCCACCCGCAAGTCGAAGTGGTTTTTACCCTCGCCAACATGGTAAGAACACCCTCTCAAGAGCACCCGCTCAGCGCTGCACACACACACGCACACACGCACGCCAAATGATAAGCGCAGCAGCTCAAGTGCACCCGCTCGGCACTGCACACACGCATGCCATATGGTAAGAACACCCGCTGAAGTGCACCCGCTGGTCACTGCACACACACACACACATGCCAAGTGGTGAGAACAGTGCACCCGCTCTGCGCTGCACACATGCGTGCCGAATGGTAAGAACACGCGCTGAAGTACACCCGCTCGGCACTGCGCGCACGCATGTCAAATGGTAAGAACACCTGCTGAAGTGCACCCTCTCGGCACTGCACACACGCATGCCATATGGTAAGAACACCCGCTGAAGTGCACCCGCTGGTCACTGCACACACACACATGCCAAATGGTAAGAACAGCCGCTGAAGTGCACCGGCTCAGCGCTGCACACATGCGTGCCGAATGGTAAGAACACCCGCTGAGGTGCACCCGCTCAGCGCTGCACACACGCATGCCAAATTGTAAGAACACCCGCTCAAGCGCACCCGCTCAAGCGAAACAACAAACAACCCAGTCCACGAAGGCGGCGGAATTCAAGTTCCACTGGGATAGGACATGTCTCCAGCCGGTGCCCCGGCTTCTTGCAGCCCAGACATCGTCTCACCGCCATGTGTCCTGACTAGAACAAAAAATGCGCGGCTTTACTTTGAAATGATTTAGTTACCGGGATGTTCAAAGACCCACAAAGATGCACGTTTGTCAAACTGCCTGAGAATTCAAGCACAAAAACCGAAGACATGCAAAAAACACGCGGGTGGGTATGTTCCCGGCGCGTACGAAAATAGACAAAACCGAAGAAAGAAAAAGGGAAAAAGCACGCAAGAAAACATCGGGTACCCGTATTCTAAGCTCTCTACTGGAGGACCCAGCTTATAGTTGGCATGGAGCCTGAGCTGAGATCTACTCCATCTCCATTAGCTGTACAGTGGGCATCTTGGCTGAGGCAGGAGTTGAGCTCGTTGCGCTTTGGGAGATGCCCGGAGGTTGCAACGGGGGCCCACGGGCCGAAAGATGTCTTTTTCTGCAGGTAAAGAGGTCCAAGAGGCTTACCCATTGAACTCTTGGCTGGTTTTGGGTACAGATCGCGAGGCATGTTTCTCAATTCTGCCACAAGACGACGAAGAAACGAGCCAGTTCGGGAGATGTCGGTGGACCGGCAAGACAAGGGTTTCCTTTCCCAGTGACACCTGTGGTCAATCCGCCAATCCGGGCCGGCCTTTTCTTTGGGTCTTTGGTTTCTCGACGGAAGGTTCTCGACGTCAGGCTGTCTTTTTTTCAGGTGTCCCACAGGATCACAGGGTTTTCAGGTACTTCAATTTTTTTGTTGTTTTGAACGTCGCCTTTTGGAGAGAAAAAAACACATAAAAGACTTTTCCTGTGAACTGATGCTTGTTGGAAATCTTGGAAGCCCTGTACAAGCGCCTCGAAGTGTGGGACTCTTCAGGGTATGCAAATCAATAATCCTTGCCCGCCGCAGTGGCAAAAGGACAAGCCTAGCATGGGAAGTGTGCAGGTTGTTGGGTCTCTTGCCACAAAAATCAGAAGCAAACCCGCGAGTCATTTCTCTTTTTCGCATCCACGCTTGGGCAAAATCGGCTGAAGCAGCCAGATCCAGGTACCTTGCCATGGAAGCGGAGGCTCAAAGATCCTGCAAACAGCGGTTCCTTTTGTTTGACGTTCCGACTGGATACAGTATTCCTTTGAACCTTTACCAAGGTCCCCCAGTAGTGCTCTTTTACCCTTTTGTGGGCGAGGGTTCCCCTACTGAAATAGACAAAGCCGAAAAAACAATCGGGTACCAACTCATTCCAACCTCTCCACTGCACATAGTTATCTTGAAAGCAGTTGGGTCTGTTTTTTTTGTGCTCGGTGGTTTTGAGGGGTCCCCCGAAAAAGACGCACCTAGTGGGTTGCTCGGGGTTGGTGGGTGTGTTGGGTCAAGGCTTTTTCTCCGTGAAGGAAAAAGTGTTTGGGACCTGCGCTGGTGAGAGAAATCACAAAGATCATGTATGTGCGCTCCGGCTCAAGGGGGAGTCAGCATTTTTGTACCCGACAGGGCACATGTTGACCAAACCGGCGGTTTGCGGCATAGATTTGGGGGCGAGCGAGTCTTATGTCGCGTACGTCGGGAAGGGCATCGTGGACATTGTGCAGAACGAGGTGTCCAAGCGCAACACCGCTACGCTAGTGGGGTTCACCGACCGAGAGAGATTGCTCGGCGACGTGGCGCTAGCGCAAATTCGTTCCAATGCCAAGAACACTTGCCGGAACTTCAAGCATTTGCTGGGGAGGAAGCTTGATGCTCCTGATGTAGAGAAGGAACACTTCTGGTCAACCTCACCTTTGTGCGAGTGCGACGGCTTCGCCGGGTACAGCGTCACTTACAAGGGTGAGTCCAGAGAGATTCCGGCCACACAGATCACGGCGATGTACCTTACCAAGCTGCGCGACATCACGGAGAAGTGGTGTCAAGCCAAGGCTGGATGGGCTGGCTTTTGAGCAATGTTAGGTTCGGGATATTTTAATGAGGAAGACCCTGCTGGTGAGAGCAACCCTCCCCCCCCAAAAAAAAATAAAGGCTGTGGGTCAAGACCGATGGTACCTTTTTGGGGTAGGTGCACTACCCTTTTAGACTATTTTAGTGGGGATTGGGATGTTCACTGGGGGTACGGGAGTTTGACCCATGGCCAAATCAACAACAATCATCTCCGTACCAATGGCCATCACAGATGCCCCTCGTTCATACATGCCACATCCACGCCTAAGCTGCGACTCACGTGCTTTGGTCCACTGGCAGCTGGCAGTTGGCGTTCGATTTGAAGGCTCCCCTCATGGTTGTTGTTGGGAAACATGTTGCATTTTTGCTTCTTGTGGTTTAGTGGGTGAAATCCAAATCCACTTAACTGCTAAATTTACATTTTTGTTGCCCTGCCAACGTCAACCAAGCCCTGGCGGTTTCTTGCGATGACCACTACCCGCTTGCCCGCCCTTGAGGTGCAGGATGTGGTCATCGCGGTGCCTTCGTCCTTTTGCGATGTACAGCGGCAAGCGGTGCTGGACGCGGCGCAGATCGCCGGGCTCAGCGTTCTTAGAATCATGACGCCTGGAGCGATTGGGGCGTCAAATGGCTGTGGCTCAAAATTAAGCCGGAGCGGCAAACCGCGGGTTTTGGTCCATGTTTCCACTTACCAGGGTTCCATTTGGAATTCCGGTTTTTTGAGCCACAGCCAAAGGGGTGTGAATTAAAACCCGGGTAAGTGAAGGTTGGTAAGGGACAATCCCCTTGCCATGCATAGCTGCGGCCGGAAATCCGCCTTCTTAATTCTTGAAGCATGCTTCTGGGTAGAGCATTTTAATACGGGATTTTGATTATGATTCAAATGGGCGGATCCTTTTTCCACTTGGGGTTTTTGGTAGGCATCATGTCCATAGGGATTTTCGCCTATGCACCCCTCACTCAACAGGTGAGTTCTTTGTGGAAGTGCCACAAAGGCTGAAAATTGAAATGTGGGATCCAAACCATCAACTTCGGGCAACATCACGGTCACATTTGGGGATATTTGGGTGGGTAGGTAACGCCGTGATTGTTGAACCTTTTGGGTTTTAGTGGGGCTTTCTGTGATACAAAAAAAGCGGTCTACAGCAAGCTAGTCATCGCGATGGCAACTCTGGCATCAGATGTAAAAGCTTATATTCCAACTTATATTAGACAACCATGATGCACGCCAGCTTTGAACAGTTGTCCTATAGGAACGGCTGGTTTGTCAGGAGACATACCGGCTTCCGGGCTTCGGTTTTTTCACCCGTAACGAAGAGTGCCCTTCTCCCCAGCGATGGAAATCACTGAAAGCCCCCCCCGCCGGGCACCGTTTCCCGTCGGGATGCCACATCCGGGTTTCCGGTGACGCGAGGAACGAGCACACTGCCACGGCCTTGGCCTACGGTATCTACCGCTCCAACGATTTCGATCCCGAGAAGCCCATGACGCTCGTCTCGAATTCTGAAAGACGAAGTTGTTTCGGAGTGTTCGGTTTTGGCCCTTGCCGCTCGTGGATTCAAATTCAAGCGACCCTCTTAGAGACACCCCAAAACCCTGAAATTGCCTCCTTTTTGCTAGCCTTTGGGAGTTTTTTGGCATTGCCAGACCTTTTCAACTTCTTGCCCCGCGGCCTGATTTTAGTCAGGTATGGCAGTATTTGAGATCTTTTCCGGGCTGTTTCAAGAGTACACAAGTGCGAAAGATAGTTATCCAACGGGACGCACCAGGGATGAAGATGATTGACACGAAGCACATTTCGGGAGCGGTAAAACTTGGCAACGTTTTTTGGAGCCATAGGCTGGGACAGGAAGAATCAGGGGAGTCCACTTTCAGTCAAGTACCTAAAACCGTTGCTGGTTTTTTTTTCCCATTTCAATGCATCCGGTTTTTGATTGTCACTCACTTGCACCGTGTTCCCCTCAGTTTCCCAATGCGAATCGACCATTTCACCTTTTGGTTAAAACCCTTGGTTCACTTTTGGTGGTCCCACAAGGTGATCACCAGTTATACTTCCAGGACCCATCCTACGTAAGTCCCAGAATTCTAGTGGTACCTTCCCGGATTCTTTCCAGGGATCCGAATCTTTCTGCGCAACATCAAACCGCAGTTGAACCCAGTCCCATTTTTCTTGAAAAGAGCACGGACGGTTGAAAAGAATGGGAACCATGGCTTTCAAGCCCACATGGGCATCCAAAAAAAAAATAGTGTGAAAATAATGGGAAAAGTGAAAAGAATGGGAAAACACCCTCGACAAAAATGGGCATCCAAAAAGGATGATGTGAAAATAATGGGAAGATTGTTTTCAGCCCCTCAACAAATGGGCATCCAAGAAGGATGGTGTGAACAGAATGGGAAGATGTTTTCAGCCCCTCAAAAAATGGGCACCCAAAAAGGATGGTGTGAAAAGGATGGAAACAATGGTGTTCAAGCCCCTCGCAAAAATGGGATTTCCTCGCCCGGACTTTTTTCTTCCGCGTTTCTCTTGCAGCTTTTGACCCCGGGGGACGGCACAAACCCTCCTAACCCCGAACCTTAATTCTCCTAATAATACTCCTGAAGCGTGGATTTCATCGCCCGGATTTTTCGCCGCGTTTCAAAAGATCGCCCCGCCCGGATTTGTTTCGGCGTGTTTCCGAGAGCTTTGGAGCCCGGCGGCATGGTCAAGAATGGGGTTAGGTAAACAATGGTGGTCATACGAACCCCATTGTTTTAATGGTAGACCCCCAGGGTTTCCCTTTTTGTCCATTAACACCAGGACTCCACAAAAGTCTTCGCCGCCGCAGGTGGCCCGTGTTCCTGCCATAAAATTTCCGTTGAAGCGTCGCTCCTCGGAAGCCGTTTCGTTGGAGGACGGTGGCCTTCTGCTCCATGGGGCACTCCATCTTCTCGGTGAGCGTGGTGCAGTTCCTGCGGGGCAAGCTGCGGGTGCTCAGCGAGCGCAGCGACAAGGTGGGGGGCCGGGATATGGACGAGCGCCTCGGCCAGGAAGTTTCTAGTAGGCCCCCCCGCGAGGGTTTGCAGAAGTAGTTAGAGTTTCCCTACGACTTTTTCCACTGACCGGGTCCCAAACCCAACCCCAAAGCAAAAATCTGACAGTGGAGCCATACTAGGCCCCCCAGCGAGGTGCCCTTTCTCACCCCGTTTTTGGTTGCGAGGGTTCCCAATCCTAAAATAGACGTCCAGAAGGAAAGGTTGGGTGCCAACTTGTTCTATCCTCTCAACTCGGACCTAGAGCTGGCTGAAAGGGAGGCAGCCGACATGGAACCTGACTGAGCTGGAAGAGGATTTTCCTTTAAAGGGGGCCCTTGGGTTCCATGATGGACTGGAGGGTCGCCAAGTTTGCTTGAACAAGGAGCCTGGAAAAAAAAGTCTACGAGAAGTGGTCGGTTAGGGACATGGCAGGTGTAGGAAGTTCTGTCTTCCAATTGGACCACGGAATTGGGTGGAGTTCCTTCTTAAATTCGTCAGCTGACCACTGACATGAAACAGAGACAGCCCCATCTGCATCGGACTTTCACCTCACCAAGCACATGATGTGTTGCCTCGGGTATTTCTGGGTTCCTTGAAACTGCCCACAGACACTCTTGGTTTTAAGGCCCACCAAATACAAGGTGCCAGTTTTTCCCCATGGCCACTGGGTCTGGATTGACGCTTGGAGCTCGTAGGGATGCTGCCCACGTCACGAGTTCCTGGACTTTATACCTTTTGGCAAGACCTGTTTAGTGGTAAATGAGCAGCTCAGCTGTTTTTTTTCTTTTTGAACTGGATCGCAAGTAAGACTATGTTACATTGTAAGGGTCAATATTGCCGACCAAGTATCTTGAAGAAAGCATATCTTTATTTGGAGAATGACGAGGATTGGCAGGGGTTTGTTTGTTTGTGCTTTTGTTTGGCAATGTTTTTTTGGTTTGTGTTGGCAGTCCGACAGCTGCGGAGTTGGACGGGAAAGGCACGTAGTTTGCAGCTTGTTTGTTTTTGTTTGCCGCTGCCAAAAGGCGCTTGTGCTCAACATTTGAGCAACAGGCAAGATGCGGGGCCCGCCCAAATTACCGTGTCCTCTTAAATAGGGAGACGCCGAAGATTGTGGCTTTTTTGGTTTTCGCTTTAAACCAGCCACAAAAAGGGTGCACTCAATAAAGCACACATGCTTTTGCCTTGGATTGGTCTTGGGGTGTTAGCTCGTGCTGGTCGGAATGGCCTCAAGTCATGATCATAGATGCAAGTTGTTTGGAGCTGTCTAGCCTTCAGACTGTGGATGGACCTGGACGAACCCCATTTCGCACCACCTAAGCAACCATGGTTGACACCATTGTTTGCTACGGTATTTACGTTGGGGAATCAACAGACACCAGGGTTTCTGATCGGTGGTGCCTAAACGGATTTCGAGTCCATCCGCGGTATTCCCCCGAGTTTGTGACTTGGCTTGGCGGTGAGCTTGGGCCGGCTTCTGTTAGGGGTTGATCTAAGGCCAAGCTACCCCGAGCTCACCGGTAAGACGAGCTCACCAATGGACTTGTGGGGAAGGGGCGGTGTGTATTTGCTTGGCTTCTGGTTTGGGGAAGTGTGGGAAGATCAATTCACCAGCTGGGGGGCTTCTCAAGACGGCGGACCCCTTTTTGGAGGTGGTCACCGGGAAGCCAAAAGGACACAAGCCATAAAGTGGGTCCCCGATGTTGAGCGAAGGTGCCTCATGCGAGAGTTCGCAGCCCAGTTCAAGAAGAAGGCCGGAGCGAAGGGCTGGGATCCCGGATTACTCAACCAACTAGTTTATTTCGTTTCTTCGGGGGTGCGGGTGCGGGTGCGGGGGGGGGGGGGTGTTCCCCTCCAAAGGTAGTCTGATTTCCCAACATTTTCAGGGACACCCCCTATGAGTAAACAGGGGTTGATTAATATGGGGTCAACATTACGGATTACTACGGCCACATGAGGTCAAATGGAGGAATCAAGGCAAGGGCTGTTTGCAGGGCATGAATGGAGTGGATGGTGAGGGACTGAACATGAAGATGGCCAGACCAACGGTGTGGCCTTAAGGTGTTTTCTCGTTTTGGGTTTCCTGCACCTTTGGAAAGCCCGCCTTCTTGCGGGGAAGACGCCTGGCACACGACTTTTTTCCGGCCGGTCTGCGCGAGCGCGGAAGAGCTTGAGAGATCTTTCCGCGGGTTTTGGCCGAAGTGCTGGGCAGGTGGGCTGCGACCCCTTGAGCAGTAAGAAGGCCGCCTTCAAGCTAGAGGACGCGGTCACCAAGACCAAGCCCCTTGATGTTTCAACTGTTGGGGCGTGGGGGGGCGGTGGGGGGTTTTGCGTGAGGCGAGAACTGTGGGCGGGTTTCCAAAAGCACCTGCGTCCAGGTGCTGAAATGAGGATTTGTTTATTTGAATCCCTGTTGGTTTGAAAGGGGATCGATCACTGGAAGTATCTTTATGCTCAGGGGACATAAGCGCATGGAGTCCTGGCGGCTCAGCACAGGGGGCTACATATCCGCTTTGGTCCGGGTGTGACCTGAAAGGCCCCAAAAGGAGCTTTGATGGAGACACTGCGAAACACGACGAACGTTTCCGTTAAACCACAAGGTCAGCAGATGGTATCATTTGCTTAAGAACTTTTTTCATTATTATTTTCCCCTGTTGGTTTTAAAGGAATCTATCACTAGCGTTGTTTGTACATATGTATATATATACACACAAGTAAGTTCACAACACACTTTTCCCAGGAGACGCTATTCTTCCACGATCATGAGGCAGCTTGTTGCTTTTTTGGTACTCACCATCCCTATTGCTTGGCCCTTTTTGTCGGCGGCGTGTAGCTCCCAAGCGACTCTTGCTTCACTCCTGTAGCTTCCGATCAGATAAAAACCGCAGCGACGAGACGACTCGGTGAAGGGTTCTGTTGGCGACTCCTTTGCCAGGGGCCAAAAATCGGAACCTTGTAGAGCATCTCTGGCTGAGGTGATAAACCTCCATTTGCTGAAATGTTGTGTTTTTTCTTATTTTTTTTTGTCCCCTTGTTGGTTTCAAACGGAATTCATCACTATACTGGAAATATTTCGTTTTTTTTCCTGGGGCCTTAACCAAATGGAAGTAAAAGTTCTCAGTAGGGAATCGACAAGGGTTTGGCCCTTCCCCAAGGCTGGATCATTCCACAAGGTATGGGTTTTGAGGGCCATTCCCTATCCCACTTCCCGATCGAAAAAGCAAGCGTCTGCCATCGTTTCCTCGAATCCCAGGATTCATTTAAAGGACACCACCAGTGGGTGTGTCTTGCTTGACGCTAATTAGTGTTGACCCCTCATGAATTACCCCCCCCAGTTATTCATCAGGGCCCGAAAGTTCCCCTACTAAAATAGACTACAGCACAAAAAAACGGGTACCAACTTTTTAATCCCTACTACTGGCGGACCTAGCTGTTTCTTCTTTTGGTACGTGTCCTCCCTGTTTTTCCTCGTCCCCCAAGCACCACACTCAACTCCCTGGTAAGTGAAGCGTCAGGGACCATCCCAGCCATAAAGCCGGCTGTCTCCGGTCCCCTTTTCCGACTCCCGAAAAACCGAGGAAGATCCTCTCGGCGAACAGCGAGGCCACGGTGAGCGTGGAGTGCCTCATGGAGGACGAGGACTTTGGCAGCGCCATGAACCGGGACGACTTCGAGAGGAGCGCTCGATTGGGGGGGCATCGGCGCATCGGCTCGATTTTGGGGGTGTCCATCGGGAGGCCAGGGGCAAGGTTTCTCTCGGGGCCTCGGGTGATTTTTATTTATTTATTTATTACCCAGAGGGTCCCAAGCACCCAATAGTCACGGCTTCACGAAAAAAGACCTTAATCTCGGAACCATGTGCCCCGAGACCCTGCTGACAGCACGCTCGCCCTGGCCGTGTGGCTCATTTTCCCCTCGACACGTGGCCGGCAACATCCGGATCATCCAGGCGCGGCTAGGTCAAAGCTCGAGCATGTCATCCAGAGTCAACCCATGCTGCAGCCTGTCAGCGAGGTAAATATGCTATAGCACTGAGCCCATCAAACCCCTGCCTTATGTAATAGCGGGCCAACCCAATCTTCTCCAACGTCAGCTTGTGGCACTTGCTAGCAAGACCTCATGCCAATGTCACAAGTATACCAATCGATGTAGCGCTAGTATATGTGTTGATTGCACCAGCCTGCAAGTCGGCCAACATGGTCCTCCGACTTGAACCCATGAAAAAATCTTGCATTCATCCCTAGGCGGCATCCCGATGCACTAGATGCAATCTATGATCAAGCTTGACATGAGCAGAATCTAAGTGCGTGCCAGATTGCTATCACATACTTGAGTGACTGCAAGTTCCCTAAAGGCCTTATACACATTGAAATTAAGTTTGATCAAGCAGGCACAGGCATGCATGTGCATATATGAAGACAAGATGCATGCAGCTTGGGACGCGCTGGCCAAAGAAACTTGTTTTGATCAGCTGCTGCCCTTGCAAGACACTCGTAGCTCCCAAGAGCTTCATCCTTACATGTTGTAGGCACATGGTGTAACAGTACATTAGCCCACCAAATATTCGTCCAATCTGCATGCTATACGGTCATCCCATGATGCTAGGCAAGGCACACACAACTTCATCATTCGCTCAGCCTGCGCTTCTGTCAGGAACATGCCGGCCTGCTCGGCTTCGTTGAACCATTGCGCAAGGCTCCATCTGGGCTGGGAAATGGGCCGGGGTGGGATTTTAAATGTGGGAAGATTGATGTCCATGTCCTCATGATGAATTTGAACGAATCAGGCCAAGGGTCACAAGCTTGGCCATCAGGCCTAGTTCCAAATTTGCATCATCTGCTCGGTAGGCGATAAGGCAGAGCTGAGATAGCCAAGCACATATAACTCGAGCCTTAGAATGCCAGATCAGCCCGAAACATGTTGCACACAAATGGAAATGCACATGGTTCCTAAGGCCCAAGGGTCATTCCAGGCCTTTACTCCCAGTTCAGGATACAGCGAGCCGTTCGGGTAAATCAGCCTGAACCCTGAGTGTGAATGCCTCAGCAACACAAAGCAACACATGAACCACATGCGGTGTCATGAGCAATCTCACCAAGCTACTGAAGCTTGTGGCCCTTTGCCCATCGCTTAAATTGCAGAAATGCACAGTTGAGCTGGCTGTCCTGGTCAATCCTCTCGCCCCACATTTGCCAATCCACATAGCTTTTCAGCACACACCCAATCACCCAGGGCACCACTCCCAGGTTGAGAACATGCATTGAGCACCATCGCACCATCGACACACCAAATGCCGGAAGGCGGGTCAAAGCACCTGAGCCAGCCAGGCGAATTTGTGTAATCATTTGCATGTACAATTATTGTGGGACAAGGGTCTTGTGGGAGCCTTCATGCAATCTTGCATGTCATCAGATCGGCATGGGAAGTCTTTCTCAAACACCTGCTCTTTGGTGCAAAAGCAGTGGTGGCATATGTAATTGCTGCTGTAGCCAACCGACAGGTGCAGCCATTCCTGATTGCAATTTCACTCCCATACATGAACACATGCTACAGCTGGGTACTGTACATTGGAATATGCATTTATGATCTTGATTTGTGCAGGCTTTGCACCAAGCAACTCGATGCCACTTCCAATCTCCCCGGATTTGCACAACACTTCCATGCACCACTTCTCGATTCCCTGCCCAGGCCAAGGGAACTCGCTGGTGCTGCTCATAGCCACAGGCCAGGGCAGCATCTCGGAGGTGAATGCCCGCGTGCAGAAGTTGGAACGAATCCATGATCTTAGCATGCATGAGGTTGGGGCAGGTTGGGGTAACCTCACAAATACAAGCCAAACACGTTGAATGCTTGCGAGGAGCAGGGTCCAATATCGATTTCAATGTTGAGAAGCCCAAAGAAAGTTCCTGAACTTGACATGGAAAGTGCTTTGATCACAATTTGGGCTTTTCAGGAAATGCATGATCATGAATGTTGCCAGCACTAGCCTTGACACATGTATAAATATACGGTAGCTAATTTTGTCCAGAGTTCCACTCGCAACACAGCAAGGGGCCAGCAGCAGTCTAATGATTGGCAATGCTTATCCAGGCAATGCCCCATACACACTACCAAAATCTTCTCCTGCGACTCGTTGAAAACGCAGTCATCGCCCCAAATGTAGAGAGGGTGATGTTGCCTAGAGGCTGCAGCCCGCCGCCAGGGTGCCCTAACCAGCTCAGCATGGTCCCAAAACTTCTCAATCTCGTTGATGACCTTGTCACCAGTTGGCCAAGCACCTTGTAGCATGAGCCAGGGAACCAACTCGTGGGGCAAGCATATGGCGATTTTCCTGCAGAGTCCAAATTTGACAACTAGTTGATGGCTGACACGAGCTCTCTACATCTAGTTTCTGCCGCGCGCAGGCTCCTTATCACGATACCTTGTCGACGCCCAGGAGGCCGGCAAGGAATATCAAATTCATGGGTGGGAACCTCACCATGGGCCACATGATCAAATATTATAAATGAGTTTCTAGATCGAGCAAACTGTTTGGCCGGCACAAGCCAGCCCATGGTCTTGCAATGAAACCAAGGCACCTTTCCCTGTTTTCCCAGGCTGGACAAAACATCACGTTGAATGTTGCTGCTCCATCGCCCACAGGCTCCAGCATCTTTGAGCTTTCGACAAGGCCCTTGAAGAGTATGACCATGCCAATCAAACTCCTGCCCCATCCCATGCAAGAACATTAATTAGGGTGCCTATATGCATGGTACCTGATTTCATAACCCAGTCCTTGCACACAGCACGCGCAGTTTCACGAGCGGCTTTGAATGATGTTTCCTTAATTTTGAGGAAACATGACAAGTCAGGGGCACATCTCATGAATTCATATCAATGCCACCCAGTGTCACCCAGGCCAGCTTTCTCCATCAAAAAGCGGAACAACGGCGAAGTAGCTGCACGATGTCCGGCATGTGAATTTGTGGCACCTGCGTGGGCAAGGGTAGCAATTGTAGCTAGACAGTATCGATCATGTTGCAACATCAGCATGCCATCATCAGTGAAAGTGCCATGCAACACTTTTTGTCCACGTACCAGCATGAAGCTTAATGTGCCAACTGCTCAATTTGTCAGGGCAGCCACAACCGGCTATGTTCAGGCAAAGGTGTTGCAAGCGTGGCACTGGTCCTATTGCCACCCGGAACAACATGCAGAGAAGTGTCAGTCAACACCCAATTGCAATTCAGGGCCAACACTCGTGCATGTACTAGTTGCAGCATGCCATGCATGTCACAGCACCATGCATGCAATTCCAGGATCAACTTGCAATCCTTTGCATAACCAACACAGGCCACCCCTAAGTGGCTACCTGACATTGAGCGCTGCTCAAAACCGCAGGCAGATGATCTCTGCACTGAATGCAAAATGCCACGGGCTCAGCTCTTCTTCTTGGGGGCAGCTTTGCGCTTGGCAGCTGCTGGCACCAGTCCCTGAAGTGTGTGACCAAAACGTGTCAAATCACACATCCACATGCACACACACACATGTACACAACAAGCATACATGCATGAACGCAAAGTGGGTTCGAGTCAAGGTGCCAGGTTTGGCTTGAGCGATTTGATGAAACCCATGTAATCACTCACGGCAGATTCAGCTTGGGCAAGCAAAGTCCCGTGATTTTGAAGGGCAGTCTCATCCATCGACTCATCCTTGACTGTCAAATTGGAAGCGTACCAGGTCTCCATATGCTGGCGGATGTTGGCCAAGTTATCTTTGCGCTTGTTCAGCTCAGCCTTGTACCCTTCCTTCAAAGCCGTGTTCCTTAGATCAACAACTGCTTCTCGCAAATCAGGTTTCAATCAATGAGCAACCAACGCAACAAGACATATATATATATATTATATAGCCATGGCCATGAACATCATGAGTGAGCCAAGAAACATGTCACTCTCATCGAGCTTGTTCTCCCAGCAAATGCTGTCTGTGATCTTGCCACTGACTACTTGCAGCTTTGCCGACACCATCTTTGTGTTGCTGGATGGGTTGGCCTTCCGAGGCTTGTTCAACGCCTTTGGCACTGCCTGATCGCCCTGCGGATCTGTCGACGAAGGCGCGGCAGGGCCACTCAGGCGGTGTGGAGCGAAACCCCTCAGTGGCAATTGGTATAGATATAAAAATCAAGCAACAAATTCAACTGCATGCGCTCGCTTAAGAATGTTGTGCTGTACATGTCAATTGCCCACATGCATTCTGATGCGCCCAAGTGTCTGTACTAGGACTCGTGTTTGATCAGCATCAGCCGTGGCATGGACTGTGTGAATCCTCTCGGTTGATGTGCTGGATTCCTCTGAGAACTCGGTGCTGTCCCACACACGCAGAAGCTGTAGATCCTGCCAAGCGGGAAGGTTATGTGCTTAGGCATGGCAAGCATGCATACATGCGCTATATATATATATATTATATATATGCATCTAGGATCTATATATGACATATTGTGCCCCACCCCGCACCCAGTCCATCTCATCAGGAAGCTCAGGATGAGCTTCAATCCAGTTTGGCTCCGACGGTTTTTTTGAGGCCTGCTGTTCACGCTTTCTGGCAAGCATCCGCTCAGCAAGAGCTTTGCCGTACTGCTCCTTCACAGCCTTGAACGGCTTCATGACGTACTTGCCAAGTTTCTTCTGTTTGTCAGAGCTC